AAACCCATCTACTCCTGCCCCAGAGCACAGCTTTTAAAAGCCATTTTTGGTAACTTTTAATTTTAATATAATTCAGAATCATAGAAAAGTTGCCCAAAAGGTTTAAGTACCATCCATATACCTTTTACCGAGATTCACTGCTCCTTTTCATCTGGCCCTTTATCATTCTCTCTCTGTCTTTCTGTCTCTCTCATGAGTCCGTCTATCCATCTCTGTCTGTCTGCCCATCCACCTGTCTGTCTCTTCATCTGCTCATCCATCCGTCCAGCCATCCATCTCTGTTTATCTTTCATCCATCTGTGTAGTCATCTATGCCTGTTTTTTTCTTGAGCCATTTTAGAACATTATATCTCTTCACCCCTAATTACGGTCAGAAAGAATTTCCTCAGAACACAGACTCTCTCTTCCATGATCACAGTTACAGTTACATCCCCCCCTCCCCAGGCTAGAATCAGCATAGCACATCCTTTAACTGTTGGAGGAAAGGAGACATATTTATTTAGAGGAGCCAGCTGGATGCCAGGCATTGCAAGGAGGCACTTTACATACATTGTGGCAGTTTGGTCTTCTCAACAGTCATGTGGAATCAATTTCTATTTTCCCTGTTTCACAGACAAGCAACCTCAGGCTTGGAGAAATTCAGTAACTCGGGGAGCAGGTTCAGATCCAGGTCTGTCTGACACTCCTGTCGCCCTGGCACTGGTGCCTGGACACTACAAGGCACACACTTGATGTGTGTCTGTCCTTGAACAGGTACCAGGCCCGTGTCTTCTTAGTTTGTCTCAGGATATCATCTCAACCCCTATAGGCACTGTGGCGCAGGGTCATTCAGGGAACGGCAGAGCTCATCAGCAAGACGCTCCCTGCTTGGAGCTTACCTTCAGCCCTGTAAAGGTGAGACCACCACCGACACGGACAGGCATGTCTGAAAGATGAACATGCTTGTGACTGTATTTATGCTGAAACAGATGAGCACACAGGGGGGAGGACAGACATTGCACTGGGACGGAGAGGAGGAAAGACAGGGGTTTTTTGGTTATTCCCAACACAGTTGGGGAGAGTTACCATTACCCTGGATCTTAGGGTTTAGCTTGGCAAGGCTTCTGGGCGGAGAGGAATTTGAGAACTTAGAGCCACATAAGCATGGATATTTTACATCTGGAAAGGACTTTAGACGGATAGGCCACCTCCCTCATTCCAGACACTGGGAAACTAAGGCCCAGAAAGGAAAACTCGTTTGCTCCTGTCACGTACCTAATCAGTGGCCGAGCTGGGACTTGAAGCCAGGTCCCCCGTCGTCCGGGATTAGGTTCTTTCCACTATAGCAGGAAGTCCGAACAAAACCCCTTTTAATTATTTACTCCCACCTCAAGCAGCTACTGTCCTGCCTTCCATGATTGGAAAAGTACTGTATCTGCCAAAGTACTTATATTAGTGAGTGATTAACTAGTTACCCATTTTCATTAATCAAAAACAGACACATCAATCAGACTGTCTAATAAGGCTAATACCTAACCAGAGTTACCATATTGATAGAGTCAAGACACTCAAAGTATGACCTCAACTCAGGTTTTTTAAATGTCAAAAATGACCCTCCCTTGAGATATTATTACCTGAAGACCCTTAAGGACTTTAATTAGGGAACCAGGCTGGGAATTGGGCCACTGCATCATGCTTCCTGCTCAAGGGCACTCAAGGTTATCTGTGCCCCAAGGAACAGATTTTACTCTACAGGGACCACTAGAGATGGCATTCTTCCTCCTCTCCCCTTCCCACTCTCTTCCCTCCCTAACTTTCTCACTCCGAATTCAGATCTGCCATAGGGCATATGGACTAATAGCTGTGTTTATATAATGTGTTCAAGAATAGGTTAAAGTGATTTTATGTATATAACTCCACAGCTTTTACAGATCAAATATGATTTTGAACCTAATCAAGTTTAACAAATAGGTATTTTAGATCGACGACAGAAAAGAATGCAGACTGAACTGCCCTAAATCAAGCACTTGCAGGCACGCCTTGGAGATTTTGCGGGTTTGGTTCCAGACCACCGAAATAAAGCGAGTAATGCAATAAAGCGAGTCACACGAACGTTTTTGTTTCCCGTGCATAGGCTATACTGTAGCCTACGAAGTGTGCAACAGCATTTTGTAAAAAAACAACAATGTAAATACCTTAACTTAAAAATGCTTTATTGCTAAAAAATGCGAACAACTATCATCTGAGCCTTCAGAGAGTTGTAACTATCATCTGAGCCTTCAGAGAGTCGTATCTTTTTGCTGGTGGAGGGTCTTACCTTCAATTTGTAAAAAACACAGAATCTGGGGAGCACAATAAAACCAGGTATGCCTGAAACACGTAAAAATCTTGTTTTCTAACTGATGGAGTTTTTCACTTGCCCTGAAGCCAGACACAATACACAGGAAACCCTTAACACAGAGATTTTCAAGATTCTCAGTTCTCCAGATTTTCATTTCACGGCTTCCTTAGAAAACAGTAACCTGAGGCGCACTGGTTGAGCTGCAGAAGCTGCTCGCAGTCACTGGGGGTACTTGGCCCCCCCGAGGGTCAGTGTCTTGTCTCACCGAGAACCCAGCTGCAGTTCGCCAGCTGGGAAGCTCCAGATGAACATAATTAACTGGAAGAATACTAAAGATCTCGTGATTACCTTAAATGGGAGCAAAAGACAATAAAATCCAACCTCCGTCTCTGATTTAAAATCTTGGGAGGAAAAAAGCGCTCACGGAATGCATTCGAAAATTTGAGTGAAAACCCTAATTGAGACCCATTTGTTTTCGAGCCTAACGAGGTCTGCAGCGTGAATCCATCTCGTTCTTGGGTGACTGGCAGCTGGGCGGGTGTTTATTTTCCCGAGGCCTGTTCCACCGCCCGCAGCGGCTTCTGTTGCACTCACTCTGAATAAAAGCCTCTCCAGTTGCATTTTCAGACTGGAGGAGACAGAGAGAGAGGCCTGGCCCTTGTGCCCAGTCGCTAGGCAACTAGAGAGGGGATGGGCCCAGAACCGCCCTGTGTGTCTGCTCTGCTGTCCAAGCACACGTTGGCCCAGGCCAGCCACACAAAGTCACATGGGGCAGAAATGTGCCTGCTAGGAGGCGGAGGGTCAGAGCACCCAGCGATAACCTCAGAGGACCAGCCACTTTGCTGGCCTGGCAGCTCGGCTGGGTCTGTGTCTTTATATTCACCCTAATGAGACGCACAGATCCTGCCTCTTAATTGCTCTGCTCCTCTCATCCCTGGAGAGCCCTGAGAGCCACCTGGGCCACACATGGGGTCCTGTTCCCCTTTGGGAAAGTGTTTGATCTCTCAACATCGCAGACAAAGAGATCTGAAAGGGGCATTTGGGTTTCTCCAGTTCAAGGCTGAACCATAAATGGAAATTCTTATAGACTTTAAATGTTTTCAGCCCATATGGGACAAGTGAGGGCTGTTCGTGGTAGAATTACCCAAGTATTAGCCCTTGTTGGGGATGGGACCTCACACTTCACCGCTGTGTTACCTTAGCAAGCCAGCTTCACATTCATGAAATTAGATGTTGAAGTTCACTGTCTCCTAGAAGATGGTGATTATGCAAAAGGAGGCTCTGCCGTTAGAGTGTGTTTTGGGTTTGGGAAATTGCACCCTTCTCATTCACACTGTGTTGGCTTACGGTTTTACTAATTCTCAAACCTCCGGGAGGCTCAGGCTGATTAAGGTTTGCACAGAACCAGACAGACACACTTCCTTCCCCCGGGAGCTTTGATTAGGCCCAGGCCTTGGCTTCCAAACGGTGTTCCTTAGAGGTGCCTTTGGGACTCCCAGCTGGATGCGGCCAGAGGGCGCAGGACCCCAGCGTTTGTGCAGAGCAGCTCCCCTTCCGTGGCGCATGTATTGGGCTGCTGAACAAGCTTTTATTTGAGGAAAGGATTCCAAAGGCCAACCAAGTTTTGAGAGTCACTTCCCTAAACCACTGATTCTGTGAATGTATTAGGGTCCCCCAAGCCCTTCCTATGCTCTTTTTTCTTTATTGGAATATTTAAAAATTATAAGTCAGACAATATGAGGCATATAAGAAAACGGTTCAACATCTCTCCCCCCCTTCGCGTTCTGCCCTTGGAAGATAACCAGTGTTGACAAGTTGATATGTAGCCTCCCATAATACCTGTCCCCTCTTGCGGATATCCTTTAACATTGTTTCCTTTGGGGAAAATTTCAGACAGACACAACAGTCAAGACTAGTATAAGTAACCCCGTAGCCCCATCCCCCAATTCCAGTAATTACCCAAACTTTATGACACTTGCTTCATGTATCTCTTTCTCACACATTTTTGATTTTTTTGTTTTGTTTTACAAAAATGGCATGCTACTCGGCAACCTGTCTTTTTACCTAATTTTCTGAAACATTATTTCTTGTCAGCTCATCTGCCTCCTCCTTTTAGTGGCTACATAGTTTTCTGTTGTATGCTTGAACCACCGTTTACTCAACCAGTCCCCGATTTTGGACATTCAGGCTGTTTCCAATCTTTTTCATCACCTTACAAATTCCTATGACGAATATCCATGTACAAATTCCTGTGACAAATATCCATGTGACAAATATCCATGTATTGACATTGGCACATTGATGTATTTCTTTCTGTAGGGTAGATTTCCAGAAGTGGGATGGCAGGATCATGGGCTATGTATATTTTAAGTTTTATTAACTATTGCTCAAGTTTACTCTCAAAAGATTGTAGATCACCTTCCACCAGGAACATCTGCCCATTGCCTCAAAGCTCTGGATGTGATTGTTCATTAACAATGTTGCGAATCTTTTGTATAAAGAGATGGCATAACTTCGATGTTTTGTATGAGTTCGTGAATGAATTCTTTCCTGCTTTAATTTTGTAAGTTGTAGTTTTGCAATCATTATTTGGGGGGAGAGGACCAGTAGGAACAACTGGAATAGATGCCAAGAGGGAAATGTCTTTTGAAGACCAGCCACTGCTCTTTGTTTCTATTAGTTTGTGCAGCGGAAAACGGGTGCTGGCCGCGTGGTGCATATCTGCAATCTTCCAGAAGGAAGCTGCACTGAGAATGACGTCATTAACTTGGGGCTGCCCTTTGGAAAGGTCACCAATTACATCCTCATGAAGTCTACTAATCAGGTAGGTCTGGGCACTTTCATATATATATATACACACACACACACATATACATATATATATAAGTATATATATATACTTTTTTTTTAAAGAAGCTCTCTTAACATAGAGGTATTACACAGCTGGACTCCTATTGGTCTTTACCAACAAACAGAGGTTTTTGTTGATGGTGGGGTTTTGTTTCCCCTTGTTTCCCCTTACCCTTCCTGTGATGGTTACAGGCCTTTGTGAGTTGCCTAGAGGTGAGGAGGTGCTTTGGAAAGAGGTGCTCATTAACATAGAAAAGCTAACTGGCCCCCAAAATAGAAACCCATGGGCTTGAGTCTTATTACTGCATTATCAGTCCCCTGAGTGAATGCTACAGTCTTACCTTCTAAGTTTCTCATAGCCGAGGGCCTGAATTTGGAGCCAACAGCAACTGACTGGGGAATGGGTATTTTTACTAATCCTTGGTGTTACCATCTGAGGCCCTTGGGCCTCACAGCAGGAGAATATGTGGGAATTGATAGATGCCTGGTAAGTCTAAGGAGCTAAGAACCCTTAACCTGTGGGGATTGACTGAGTCCTTGGGAGTTAACATGTTTGTCTTCATTTCTTTAGTCAAAGAGGGAGATTATAGAGAGAACGGTCAGAAGTAAGAATATTTTGTGTTTGGTTGTTAATAAGGATTTTTATTTTATGAATCACAGGAACAGGCATAGGAGAAATTCTTTTCTTAATTAAAGCATGAGCTTCGGAGACTCAGAGCCACATCGGATCACCAGTGGTCTCCCTCCATCAGCCTGGGCTTCCACGGCTCACTTTGTCTCTTTGTTCCTACTTCTCAGAATTCTATTTTGGGCAAATGTCCAAAATTCAGCTTGCAACATTAATGCAGTGCAAGTCGCTGAATTAATATTATTCGCATTTGACAGGTGAGAGCTAGAGGCACGAAAATGTTTCCAGGAACAAAGAGGCACTTAGAAAGCGGGGTGGCAGAACCTGAATAAAACTCGAAATAATCGTGACTTCTAGTCTCCCACACATCTGCCGCAGACCGCGACAGCGTGGGGAAAGGCATGTCTGAAATTCAGCAGCAAATGTGAGGGAAGGAGGAGGGGAGCCTGTGCAAGGCGATGGAGAGGAGGTGCTCGCAGTGAGGGCCCCTGTCACGGGCCACTTCCTTCTCAGCACCGAGGGGCCAGGTCAGCACAGGCCAGACGAACCTAAGAAACAGCAACGACAGTTAATCCTCAGCAGCTCCTGGGGTAAACTGACAGGTCAGTCCAACAGTCTGTTCAGAAAGTCTCTGTAGACATCGATTGAATGGAAAAGACCATTTCTTTATAAGTTTTTCCTTTTTTTAAAAAAAAAAAAAATCAGAACAGTTAAATAAAGAGGAAAATTGCTGTGGAAACATAACTGGGTTTTCCTCTCTCTTGAACTCACAAAGACATGCCCTTCCTTCAAGCCTGGGGTGCCCCTGAGCTTTTCGGTATATTTCTTATTTTGCAAAGAAAGTGAGAGCTCAGATACCCAGGGCTCACGCCTCTGTCTTCTGCCGCTGCCACCACGAAAGAGTGAATTTTGCAGGGATTGGCCCAAGGTCACAACAAACTCACTCTCTCCGGCCTCACCCCTTCCCCTGGGAAACGGTCGGTAACGGGCCCTCCCATCCCAGAGGGGCCTGCGGCGTGACGTAGCCCAGGATGGACATACATAATTAAGAAGGACGTTTGGTAACCATGGGGATCAAGAGAGGGGCCGTGTTATAATGAGCTCTTTTGGTGAAGTTAATAAATAGGTCTCTTTGAACAGATGGGATCAAAAAGAGCTCTTCCTTGAACTGCTGTGTGTGTTTTTTCTTTTTATGGAGGTATGAAATACATGCTCTAAAGTGCGCTGGTCCTAAGTGCACGACTCCATTAATTTTTTACATGCGTACACCCCTGTAATTACCACCCGGGTCAAGATATGGAACATTTCCAGGACCTCAGGAGGTTTCCTTACGCCCCTTTCCCAGTCAGCACCCCACCCCACCCCACCCCAGGGGCCGCGGAGCTCTTAACTTCTGTCACCCCGGATTCGTGTTGCCTGTCCTTGAGCTTCACGACCTTGGAATCCTGCCTTAGACTGCATTTTGTGTGGGACCATTCATGTCCAGTCCAACGCGTGTCCTGCCGTTCTTTCCTAGGCCTTCTTAGAGATGGCTTACACAGAAGCTGCTCAGGCCATGGTCCAGTATTACCAAGAGAAGTCTGCTGTGATCAATGGTGAGAAGCTGCTCATTCGGATGTCTAAGCGATACAAGGAACTGCAGCTGAAGGTAAAGCTTGCTCTCGTTCGTTCAGTCGCTCGCCAAGCGTCCGCCGAGCATCTCTTCCTTGCCGGGCACCGTCCTAAGGAGAGGACAGGAAAGATGCCAAAGTTACCCACTGCCTCTGAGGATGTCCCGTGGGAAGGCAAACCATGATAACGTGGCAGGAGACGTGCTCATTGACCGGAGTATAAAATGCAGAGGGGTGCCGGAGCCGGGACGGCTAATTGCCTGGCACCCACGGGGTGCCGGGGGGGAAAGGGAGCAGGGAAAGGCGCTTGCTTTTCGGAGGTGGAAGTTCCAGGCATAAACCCTGAAGATAACCTCCTTCCCACCCGTGCGGGTCTTAGTAACTTTCTCCCCTTGTCACCTTCCTCGATCCCTTCATCTCCCCGCCACCCTCTGTATTTGTCTTCAGCCTCGTAGAAATCTTGAGCAGCCCGGGACTGAACTGGCCACTGTCCGAACTCGGGTGAATTCGGATAATTCCAAACAGGGCTTTTGTTTTTGTTTCAGCTTGTCCTCTGTTTCTCTTTTCTTCCTTCCTTTCTTTCTTGCGAAGTACAACACACATACATACAGAAAAGTGACTAATGGTGCATCACACAGTTTAAAAAGCACTAATGGGTGAAATCCCGTAAGTCCCATAAAACCACCACCAAAGCCAAGAAATAGGACACCGGCGGTACCCAGGAGGCCCCCTGAGGCCCTCTTCCTGCCCAGTGCTCCCCTCTCCACTCGGGGGACCTCCAGGCTCCTCGTTCCCTTCCTTTAGCTTACGGGTCCGCCGCCTTCATCCGCCTTCCTTAACAGCCTATTTTTGAACTTAACTCGAGTCCTACTGACTGTGTTCTTTCAGGCCTTGCCTCTTCCACTCGACAGTGTGCCATTCGTGTTGGGCGTGTCTATTTATATTCATTGTCGTATAAACTTCTGTTGTATGACTACAGATTTATCTATCTGTTCCTCTGCTGACGGACATTTGGACTGTTAGCAGTGTTAGGTTGTTAGGGACAGTACTGCTGTGAACATTCTCAAACATGTTACCCTCGGAGGAGCTGCTGAGCCAGAGGCATGCCTATCCTGCGGGTTACTAGGTAATAGCAAACTCTTCAGAATTACTTGTCCCAAATTTACACTCCTGTGAGTACTGTCTGAGAGTTTTCAGTGGTCCACATTCTTGCTAACGTTTTTGTCCTGTCTGACTTCCTAATTTTCGCCTGTCCGGGGAGAGCGCAATGGTTTGTGATGGTTTTATTGGTTATTTTCCTGATTATGATAGAGCACTTTTCTTATATGCTTATTGGCTGTTCCATCTGGATCTTCTCTGGTGGAAAGTTTCTTTTCAAGGTGATCGCTCATGCCATGCTTTTCCTTAAGATGTGTCTTCTTAATGGGCTGCAGGAGTTCACTAAACTAGAGCACTTAATTCATTTGGATTTGTCGTAATTGGTGTTATATTTGTGCTTAAATATACCTTCTCATTTTGTGCTTTCTACGGTCCCATATAATAGGGATTTTCCACATCACTTCAGCTCATTCCACATTTATTAGGGGTCCATTTTGTTTAAGACCCCCGGGCCTCAGTCTGTCTCCAAAGCTGAAGTCAGAAGACAAAGGCTGGGCGGCTGTTTCTGGCCAGGACTCCCGTTCTGACAAGTCCGCATATGTAGATCGGGTGTATGTCAGCCAGCTGCCAAAGCCCCCATTCTGCTTTGCTTGCAGTCTTGCTTCTGAAGTTCCCTTGCCAGCAGTTCTGGCAGAACCTGGCATTTTTTCCTGACTAATGAAAGCATATGGCTTTTCTCAGGCAAGTGAAAGCTCCCAGCCCATTCTCCACCCAGCCAGAGTTCCTACCTTCTTGGATTCTCCCCGGGGGCTAAAGTTGAATTTCTGCGCTCAATTCCCAGTGGAGCTTTGGTCTCCAGATGAAATGTTGCTGTAAGCTCTAATTAAGATTAACAGCAGTACTCAGCTCCTTCAAGTAAGGTACTGAGGCACGTCAGTAGCTTACCAAGGGAGATAGTTCCAGGTGGTGCAAAAACCAGGGGTTAGAGAGATCATATGGTACAGACTTGCGTTCTGCAAATACTGTGCCCACTGTGGGCAGGAACTGGGCCAGCACCGAGGCAGCAAGCTTGCAGAGGAGCTCGCAGTCTGGTGGGAGGAGAACAGGTAAACACAGAGCCACCCACAGCCATGTGAGCTGTGCCAGATTGGAGGGTGCTGGTGCCAACCTAGTCCACCCCTTCCTGTTTTGATGAGCTTGGACGGGCTGCTTCACCTCCGTGAGCCTCAGTTTCCAGATCAGTAAGAGACTAAACCCCCAGTTCTGTGGTTAGAAGCATTTTTTTTTCGTACATTGTCTCCTTGAGTCTCACCATCCCTCTTTCCCGTGAGGTGCGGAGGGTGGATAATCACAGCAATTATAACAGCACAGCAATAACAAGAAGCGTATGCACTTTTGAGTCCTCAAACCCTGGGCCAAGCAGTGTGCCAAGTACTCTGCATAAATACATTATCTCCTGTAATTCTGACGTCAGTGTTGTCCAACAGGTATTATGACCTCGGTTTTACAGATGAGGAAACTGAGGCTCGTAGGAGTTTGGTAACTTGCCAACGTTCATAGTTACTGGAAGAGCCACGATGAAAACCTAGGACTGTTTTGGGTTTGCACTATATCTGCGTCCCTATATTGAGTTATTATGATCTCCAGTGTCCCCGCGAGAAATCCGGTGACTTGCCGCAGTCACCCAGCCAGTGAGCCCCAGGGGTAGTATTCTCACAGAGCTTCTCCGACCTTAACCTGGAGCTTGTTATAATTTCCATTCAGCAGGCCTGGGGCAGGGCTGTGATTCTGCGTTTCTGACGCGCGCCCAGGCGATGCCCACACAGCAGGTCCTCAGAGCACACTTTGAGCAGCCAGGCTCTAGGACAACTTTGTCTGACCCTTTCATAAGGGTTTTCTGACCCTTTCATAAGGGTTTTCCGCTCCCCAAGCTGTCACACCGCCTCTGTGTGAAAGCAGCTCAGAGCATGTTGCAGCGACACGCCCGTGCATGCATTACGGTCCCTAAGTTGACATCAGCCAGGACCTTTCTCTGTAAGGAACCGAAATTTGCCTGAGTTAAGCATAGTGACGAAAGTAAAAAAAACAACTTATTGGCTCCTGTAAACGAAAAGTCCAGGAGCAGCCCTGGCGGCAGGTGTGGCTGGAGTCAGGGCCCAGGCGACGGCGCTAGGACTTGGCTCCCCGCTCACTTGGCTTTGTTTCTGGGGTCTCCCTGGATGGCCCCTGGCAGCCCCGGGCCCTCTCCTCTAGGTGGCATGATGACTTCCGTGACTGCGGCAGCTCTGGCCTCTCGTCTTCCCATTTCCTTCAACGTGAGTGAGCCAGAGCTTTCTCCGTAGCTCCCACGGAGGTCCCGAGAGTCGCTCTGATCACCGGGCCAGCTAGGACACGTGTCTTTCCCTGACCCAGTCTCTGTGGCCAGGGAGCAGCTGTGCTGTGACTGGCGAGGTCTGTGTCACCTGCTGCATCCTCGGAGCAGGGGTGGGAAGGGGAGCGGCTCCTGGGGAGGCAGACAGCAGAATGCTATGTCCGTGCATGTGTCCGGGGCACCCAGCACGTGGGGTCCTACCGGGGCTTGTGGAGGTGGAGGGAAATTTTGGTCATTCCCCCCACCCAACCTTACCTTTTGCTCACCAAAGTAGAGGGGAGAAAGAAGAGATCTTAAGGAACGTCCCATCTCTTGTCTTGAATGTTTCCTCATGCCATAATCCTGTCTCCCTATCCACTCTTCGTGAAGAAGCTTCTCTTCCTCAGGGCATTCGGGGCCGAACCTGTCACATAACAGGTGTCCAACAAGTGCACAGAATGAATGAGAGACAATCCTTAGGAACAACGGCGCGGGTGTTTTCCTTCCTACAGACCTGGACAAGAAGATTGAATGATTTTCCGGTTTGTTCTGTAAAGACTTCTCCAGAATCATAGCATCTTACATGCAGGAGGGAACCTGGAATAATTTAAACCAGTGTCTCCCGGTCACGCCTCAGAGAACTGGCAGGGCAGTGTTTAGGTCCTCATGCCTAGACATCCCTCCCTGGCTTGGACGTTTTATATTCCTTTCCGATGTCCTAGCCCTGACCTCTCCCTGAAACCACAGGCAACTCCCCCTTCATTCTCTCCTTGACTTGTGTTTTCTGAGCCCAACCCTCAGTCTCAACACTAACACCGATAAGCAGCCAAGCTCTCCAGGGATTAAGAGAATCTATTCCCGCTGGATCACGTAGCTCACTGCCTGTCTCTGGCCCTGGCTTTCCCAGCTGTAAAATGAGATCTATGATGATACCTAACATTCATAGGGCTCTGAGGTTTCACAATTCTTTGTAAAATATATAGAAAAAAAAATCAGGGATAAAAACAGCCATTGATTATATTTCTTAATAAAATTCTCTGTCAAGTGTTGATTTTACAGACCAAGGGTTTTTAAATTTATTGAGATATAATCACATACAATAAATGTATCCTACTCCATACATTTTAATGGGAGGCAATTGAAAGATTCTCTTGCCTTTTGTGCCCATCAGTTTCTTTTTTAATTGTTTATTTCTTACTGCTTTGTTATTGTTTTCCATTCTGGGTTCAGGAAAGGGCTTTGGTTGGGATTTGGGGACCAGGGTTGGTCCTGTCCTGGCACAGCCACCGAATAGTGACTACTGGAATGGCTGGGGCCTTTGGGTGCCTGGCACCCTCAGCTGCGAGCCATGGCTCACAGCTTACGCTGCCCACCCCACGATTTACGTTGAGCACAGGTGGGCCTGTGGAGGAACACCCTGGAGTAGGTGCTGCACAGGTCACGGGAAGGATCCTGGGGCCGAGATGCCCATTGCCAAGTCCCGATTCTCTAACCGTCTCTGTGACCTTGAATGTGTTCCTCAACCCAGCACAACTCCAGGAGTCACCTCTGCATGGAACACAGTGTGGCTGGTGACCCTGGAGTTGTGCAAGGAGGACTCCGCCTCCATCCCTCTGGGTCTCCTTTTCCACGTGTGTAAAAAGTGGTCCCTGCATTCAGTGACCTTCAAGCCTCTTTCCAAGTTACAATGCCTGCCTGCCCTCCCTCCATCCGGAACCTCTCCCTCTCTCGCTCCCTCCTTCCCTTTACATCTCAGGCATTGTCTCTTATTCCAGAAGGGGTGGGAGGTAGGTGTGAACAAACGGGACTTTGTGTCCTTCCTTCCCCAGCTCAGTGGACGCTGTATCCCCCGGACCGCTCAGCCCCCCACTGTCCCGCATGATGCCCAGAGCCCTCACCCCCTGGGTTAAACTTCTTTCTTCCCGTGAGAAGGCCCGTCTTCCCCATCGGGGACTGGACCATGAACCCGGGTCCTAGCTGCTACCCTCTGGTGTTTGCAAGGCTGCCTCTGGTCTGATGACCTTTCTCACTTTGTCTAGAAACCCGGGAAAAATGTGGCTGCCATCATCCAGGACATTCATTCCCAGAGGGAGAGGGACATGTTCCGGGAAGCAGACAGGTGAGGCCCCGGAGCTGGCTCTCAGGGCATTTGCTGGGCAGTTGGGATGTTCTCTTCTTCGTACCCTGAAGGATATTTGAGTCACACTATGCCCTGCCCTGCCCTGCCCCTGCCCCTGTCCTGCCCCTGCCCTGTCCATCCACCTCTCTGGGCCCTACCTTCCCGTGTGCCCGATGGAACACAGCAGTCCGGTCAGAAGTGCTGCTCAGGTTAAACCTCAGCACAATGCAAGATGCTAGGCTTCCTCTCAGCTGCTCCTGCTTGTTAGAAAGGAATACAGGAGGGGGTCTGTCCATAACTGGCTCTTAGGGGCAATGCTTTGCTAAGACAGCCTGAAAGAGTGTGTGTGTGTGTTTTCTATTTAGAGCCAGCTCCAGATTTTCATGCCTAATGTAGATGTAGGAACAGGAATGGAGATGCTCCCCCCAAAAGCAGTTACTTGACTAGTCTCTCTGAACATTGAATGCAGTCAGTTTTCCAACTTACTTCTTCCAACTGAAGTTGTGACTGCGCCAGGCCGTGGCTACAAGTTTGCCACTGTCACCGCCCTGCAAAGACAGTCGCTGTGCAGAGAGAGCCAAGGTGAACGCGGGAGCGGGCACCTGGCCTGCGGATCCTGTGGTTCTTACCAGGGCTGCCGCAGGTGGCGCTCTAACATCACGGCCGAGGGCTGAGCCCGGGCTGTTCCCCGGTGACCGGCAAGGCAGCCTGGTCCTGGCAGCCACATCTCCAGGTCCCGTCAGCGAGGGCTGCATGGTCTTTCTGGACTTTAGGATATTGGGCATGTGGCTCAGTTTACCTGCCAAATAACCGAACAACCTTCGGGGGGGAGCTGTTTAGGGTTGGGATTTTTGTTTGTTTTTTAGACCATAGTTATTTGGGTTTTTAAAAAACATGTGCAAAGCCATACTCTGCCGTCTGCAGTTCTGTGGTGGTGGGGGGGTAACTTAGGAGATCTTGCTCCAAACCTTACGCAGGTCCATTTCTTCATCTGAAAGACTGCCAGTTCAGTGCTCTAAGGTCTCTTCCAACCCAAAAATGCTTTCCTAGTTTTTAGTTTTTGGAATCTCTGAGCCCTCCCTCCCCTCCGCACCCCCAGCAACGAGCATCCCTCTCACATGCCCAGGATCTGACCAGATCGCCATGAGGAAAGGAGGAAAGTCGCCTTTATGCTGATAGAGGCGGAGGTGGGGGAGCGGCTTCAGTCTTCATTGAACCTGAGGGCTGGGTGGGTGCCC